AACAGATATTCAGGGGCATGCTGCTTAACCCTGAAAGCAGCATACAAAAGAACACCTTCTCCCAAGCCCAAAAGAGGTGTGACCACTGGGAGCTGTCTGGCTGATGTTGCCCCACAACAAGGTCTTTTCAGTGGTGGGTCTCCAGTTGTGGGATGTCATCCCCAGTGAGGTGTGCCTGTTTGCACCATTATTAACTTTCAGTATGAATTTGTAAAACATTCCTCTTTAACCAGGCCTTGAGTGCCTGAAGAATGCTGTTTCTGTCAACCTCGAGATCATTGTTCAGAAGAATGTATTTAACTGTAACTGACTTGTGACAGTGAATTCCATAGTTTGGATGGATAGAGTGGTTTTATTTCTGTCTTATGCAAAGCATAGGGATAGTACAGATACCTACAATCCAAAAATTAGTAGCAGATATAGATTCCTGCTAGGACAAACACCAGAGAAGCAAATTTTTGGAGCTGCTACTGCAAAGGTGGTTGCCACCTTGCTTGTAATGTCTTTATTATGGTCTGCCAACAGATCACAAGTCATATCTGTTAGGGTCCAGTCAGGGCCAGGGGTGCAGGTGAAGGAGGGGGGCAAAATCAGCTAAAAATATGTCCATAAATGTCTATTATTGCCTCATAAGAAATGGTTTTAAATAGAGGGTGAATTGAATGGGTGGAAGGGGGGGGGAGTTGGAGGAGAGGCTAGGGAGCGCAATCTGGACGGTACTGCCAGGGATGCAAGATCATCTACCTACGGTTCTGGGTCCAGTCAGCTCTTGTTCTCAAAAGGTCTCTGGAAAAATGCACTCTGAGATCTCTATACAAGGGACACTGCAAAAGCTAATGTATGACATCTTTTACCTCCTCGATAACACAAATGCTCACTGTGCATTAGGAATCCCCTTTATACTTTCCTTCCAAAAAGGCTGAAGGCATTGTTTGGAAACACAGGGCAGTGAAAACTTTTCTAAGGCAACGAAAGCTAGGTCTAGAAAATACTGTTGAAAATACTGATCTCTCCTCATTAAAACTTAAACCAAGGAGAAAACACTTGACTGGCAGGAATATTTTCATGAGAATCTACCTCAAAAACTCTGTTTCTGATGAAAAAGTGTACCAGGGAAGTCTGGGCATCTTCAAAATAATATTGTGACAATTTCGATGAGTAAAGGGCCCATCCACCTTTGTCACGTTGTTCTATGAAACTTTGTTTTTGCCTGATTATTTTCCTCAAAATTCACCAGTCTTTTCCCATGAAGTATGGTCACATTCCTCTATTCTATGTATTTTTTTACTGGATTTGTTGTAAGAATAAGAATGTGACTGTTTACTTGTCATTTTGTTCTGTAGTACATTTAATTTTCCCATTGATTTTGTGCATGCCAAGACTTCCTGCTTTATGCATGTGACATACTAACATCTGGGTAATCTTGGGCTAATCCATCAGGTTTGTTTAGATATGAGATAGTTTAGATATGAGGTACCTCCCTACAGTGTAGGATGCTGGCCAAGATGCAAATCCCGTCTCATTATATTGTTGTATGGTTTGCATGGTATGCTTGTTAACACTTGCATTTGAAGTTACTCCATCAACTCTGCAGAGTGATTCAGATATATTTGCAACATTAACATTGCAAACTCTGATAATGTTATTACACATAAGGCAGGCGGGAATGACTCCTAATCATCATAATCAGTTAATGTAAAATGTAGCACTAACAACAGGTGATCATCACCTGCCATGAAATTTTTGTAGTAAAACAGAAGCGGCTTTACATATTTTTCATTTAATGAACCATGTAATAGGACAAACCCACTGTTTACTCAATAAAAATGTCTTTCGTTTAAGCTAACATAACTTTGATTTACACCCTCCCGTTCTGATGAAGTAATGTTCAGCTGGTGAAGCTTGTGTCAGTGTGTTAATACTGTGGTACCGTGGTTCTCAAACATAATCTGTTCCAGAAGTCCGTTCCAAAATCAAAGCGTTCCAAAACCAAGGTGCTTTCCCATAGAAAGTAATGCAGAATGGATTAATCTGTTCCAGACTTTTAAAGACAAACCCTAAAACAGCAATTTAACATGAATTTTAACTATCTAATGAGACCATTGATCCATAAAATGAAAGCAATAAACAATGTACTGCAGTCACACAATCAATCAATCAGTAGCTGAACTAGGTTCCACACAGTCACAAAAACAAAAAGAGCCGCAAAAACAAAAACGCAAAATAAATAGCAAAAACTGACAGACCTCAGTGTAACACTCAAATTGGAAGTGTGTCACTCAAAACAGGGCACGTTTTAACAATGCTTTTGGTTGGCATGCATATTTATGGTATGACAAGGTAAAGATTAACAAGGTTTTCAAGAATCATATTGTCAGAAAAGCAGTGTTTAATGTCTGGACAAAATATAAAGACTTACTGGAAAACAAAACACCAAGGTGGCTTTCACCATTGGAAGCTAAGGCCAGAAAAAGACTCAATATGGAGGCCAATTGGCCAAAGTATTGGGAAATACTAGAAAAAGATGGAGATAATTGGAAATTGCAGAGTATGGAGAAAATGAGAGATAAAGTGCGAGATTGGTTACACTACGCTCAGATTAAGGAAGTTTTTAAACTTGACAAGAAGTTAGGATTCCAGGTGGAGAAATCGAAGTTGGAAACGGAATTTTTAGAACCTAAGACTAAGGTACTTTCAAGAATGTATAACTTGCTGTTAAAATGGAACACACAAGACGAAACGGTAAAATCAGCCATGATAAAGTGGGCACAGGACATTGGGTATAATATTATGTTTGAGGACTGGGAAAGGTTGTGGACTACTGGGTTGAATTTTACTGCTTGTAATGCTTTGAAAGAAAATGTAATGAAAATGATATACAGATGGTACATGACCCCAGTCAAACTTGCAAAAATATACCACTTGTCTGATAATAAGTGTTGGAAATGTAAAGAAAAGGAAGGAACATTCTTCCACCTCTGGTGGACCTGCCCTAAAGTGAAGGCTTTCTGGGAAAAGATATATAATGAACTGAAAAAGGTATTTAAGTATACCTTTTCTAAGAAACCAGAGGCCTTTCTTCTGGGTATGGTAGGCCAAGGGGTGGTAAAGAAGGACCGAACATTCTTTATGTATGCAACAACAACAGCAAGGATACTTCTCGCGAAGCACTGGAAAACTCAAGATCTACCCACACTGGAAGAATGGCAGATGCAACTGATGGACTATATGCAACTGGCTGAGATGACCGGCAGAATCCGAGATCTGGGAGAAGAGACGGTAGAAGAAGATTGGAAAAAAATTAAGACTTACTTGCAAAAACATTGTAAACTGTATGAATGCTAAGCAGGATGCTTGATTATAAACAATTTGGCACCATTAAAATAGATGATGCGAAGTAGGAAGATAAGTTAAAATGTAAGAAAAAACAACTTTTATTCTGGATAAACATTTGATGAAATTTAATTGATAATTAGACAGTAAGGATGGAAGTAAGGTGATAATTTGCTGGATTAAATTTTTTCTTAACGTGGAAGGTAGGGGCGGGAGATGTGAGGAGGTCACAAGAAGATAAGAAAGTATGCTATGTTTCGTTATAATTTTGTTCGTTTATTATATTGTAACCTAAAAACTTTAATAAAATATTTATTAAAAAACAAAACAAAACGGGGCACGTTCAGCTTCCAAAAAAAGTTTGCAAACCGGAACACTTCCCGGTTTGCAGTGTTTGGGTTCCAAGTTGTTTGAGTACCAAGGCGTTTGAGAACCAAGGTACCACTGTACTGTGGTTTTCAAACTTGTTCATGTCATGGAACTGTTTCTATATATATATTGAACACCTGTGCTTTCCCCTACAGAATCCCTGCACATTCCAGAGGATTCTGGGAGAGAATTGTGGTGTTTGCTTGGTTCACAGCAGGGCAGGAATAGTGAACCTGTGGCCCTCCAGATCCTGCTGGACAACAACAACCTTCATCATCCCTGACTGTTGCTGATGAGAGATGGCAGCCAACAACATCTGGAGGGCGACAGGTCCTCCAGCCCTGATGCAGGGGATTCTCACTGAAGCCCAGTATAATCTGAGATTGTGCCCTAAAACACACCCAGCCCTTCTCTATGGTTGCCATTTCAGTATTCTTAGGAGATCAATAGTGCTAGAAGTGTCACCTCCATTGCTAATTTTTCAAATGAAGAAAGCCCTGGGAAGTTTCCAAGGACAAGTCAGATGTTGCCAATACTGAATTCAGTACCCAACAGCCTGGTTTGGTGTAAGGCAGTGTTCTGCATCCCTGGCAACCCTAGGTGATGCTGGCAAGCCCTGGCTGAAATTACTCAAGTTTCATGCAATTAAAGTGAACTACTGAATACATAATCCTAGCTAGAGGATATGCAAATCCGTGAGCTATTTTAAGCTGTTCCGTGGCATGAATGTAAAAATGCAACTAAAAATCATGCTTCATCTACCACAGCACATTGCAATAAAAAATCAATAAGAGATGTGCCAAAACCCCCAGCAATTTTCAAGAGGTCCATGGAAGAGAAAAATACGGGAGCGACTGCCATAAATCATCATAATATAAAATAGAATAGATGAAATGATATAACAAACGTGGTGAGAAATAAAGGAAAATTAAACATAAATCAATAAAACCAACTTAATTAAAACCTGGCAGTCGAGCCCACAAATGGCATAATTACTTAGTTTGAATCAGAGGTCAGCAACCTAAGGCCCATGGGCCAGAAGCAGTCCATGAGGGTCACTTAACTGACCCATGAGCCACCCCCGAACCGAGCCACCCACTTGGCAAGTCCCCGCCACTGCGCTAAACCAGCATGGCATGGCTTGGGGACTCTCTTTCGCGGCTCTGGAAATTATATCTGCACATGTCCGCAGCGCCAGAAATAATTTATGCGCATGCCCAGACGACTGAAATCGCTTCAGCGCAGGCGCAATTTTCGGCATCTGGGCATGCGCAGAAGTGATTTCTGGCACTGCGGACATGTGCAGACGCGATTTCCAGCGTCGCGCTGCACTGGCTCGGTTCATGGAGGATCTCTACGGGAGTGATCCAACCCATGCCCAGTAAGCCTTGCCAACCCCTGGTTTGAATGAAGTAATTGTGTCCCTAGATTTAAAATGGCATTGTATTAGTTTTCAGATTTAGTTTCTGTAAGCAACAATTAACCATGACAAAATGTACAAACATAAAATCAAAATAACTGAAACTTATAATCCAAGTTTTGCAAAAGTGTTACACAGTTTAGCTCATGCCCTGGCTAGTGCTGTTAAGAAAGTAGCAACTCTTTTCAGTAACTTCTGGATAGCCTTGTTAAAGCAAAATAAGCCTAACTTTTGGCACATTGGTTAATTGGAACAATTTTCAACTGAACCAGCAAGATATTTTAAGCGTACCTATTATCTGTGTATTGGCATTGTTGATACAATGATGCTTTAGACCAGGCATATTTGGACTGTGTACACATTCCCATCTATTCTGCATCCAGCATGCTTCCACCATTGCCTTGTGAAGCCATGTATGCATTATATTAGCCACAATCCACATCTATCCTGTAGTCTCCCAAGAAAAACTGCATGTTGATGTGTCTCTCTCCACCTGCCCGCAACAGATTAGATTTGTAGCCAAGACATATGAAGACATCCATGCCCCCTCTCCACCCACAGGCGTGGGCAGTGGGCAACTTGGAAATGCATCAAGTAAGTACAGATGATTACAATGACATGCAAATGCTATCTGAGATGCAGGGAGTGGGTGCTGGATGACCTCCCTGCAGTTTAAGTTGGTAATGTGTACACAACTTCAGTTTTGACTAACTTAAGTTTACTGATTTCAGTGGGTCTTTTCTGAGCATGACTGACTCAAGTAGAAATCTATGTCTGCTCATTGATTTTTAAAGTTTTGTCTGTGCTTTAAATATTTTTGATTCACAACAGGGGTGCCAATTTCAATAAAATATGGGGGGCAGGTAAGCCCCACCCACATAATTGATCACAATACACAGTGCACAAACATCATTTGAATGGCAATGGCCATCAATGGGGGGCCCTCAAATATTTTATAGGGGACTGAAGGGACCGCAGCCCCTAGGAGTTGGTTCCAATGATTCACAATCTGTCTGTCAGTCTTCTAATTATCATACAATTGGATAACTTCATCACCTCGTTTAGATTACTATTGTAAGGTGTCTTGAGTCTGTGCATGTTGTGGGGTAAAAGTTTTAAATTAAACCACAAAAATTTATCTCACAGGAAAACAACACCTGATGCTTTCGTCATCTAGCATAAATCGGGGGAAAGGAGGTGAGATGGCGATGGAGAAACATCTCTAGGCAGAGCCTCCTTCGTAATTAGTGTTCTTTTCTCCTTCTTTTCATCTGAATTGGGTCACTAGAATTAGGGAAAATTGCTTTGAAATCGCTCAGAAAACAGCTGCTACCTGAGGGAGTATTCCAGCCTTGAGAGAAGTTGCTCAAGTTAAATTCTTTATCTAGCACAAATCAAGAGTTCTCAAGTAACTACTGCTTGACTGTAAACAGAAATGGGAGGGAGGGAGATTAAGAAAGTACCTTTCACAACTCCATTCCTCTAGACAATGAGCCTCTTCCTTTTGTAGCTATCTTATGAACTTCCTCTTCTACCTGAGTAGGAGAAAATGGGCTGGCATCTACATTCCTAAAGGGCGGGCCTTGAGTTTAGTTTTTAGATGCCTCCTCAATTACTGTTGCCAGCACAACAGGCTGTAAGGATGTTTCAGGAGCACCTTCCAGCTCAACTGCCTTTCCCAGCTAAACATGCCTTCAATGTGCCGACCAAAACAGCATGCTGTTCCAGTTCGTGTCAGGTAGGCATTCTATAAAAGAAAAATGTATATGGGTCTACCCCCTACCCAACTCTGGATATTTTATTGAGGGTGGTTGACTTTCTGTTATTTGAGCCACCCAAGAGCTGATTTTATGGTTTTGTTCTCAATATTTTCCTTTTCATTGCTCTCTTATAATTGTTCTCTCTGTTTTATATACCTGTATTTTTTCGTGTATAAGACAATTTTTTTGCAAAAAAAAAAAAAAAAAAAATTAGTCCAAAATTGGAGGTCGTCTTATATGGGGATGGTGAATGCACAGGGGTTTAGGCTTGGGCTCTGGGGCCTGATCTCAGGTTCAGGTTGGGCTTCACTCTCTGGCACGGGCATGGGTGGAGTTGCTCAACAACTCAAGTTGTGTCCCTGTGGTGTCCACCCCCTGCGCCAGAGGGTCATGCTCTGCTGCTTAGCACTTCCACCAACCATTCCACCACTGATGTTTAAATATATGGTACTAAATATACTGGTGCTTTGAATATTTAAGAAAATATCAACATTTTTCAGTTTTATGCTTAAAATATTGATTTTTTAAAAAATTGGGTTAAAAAAAAAGGGTCGTCTTATACAGGAGGGCATCTTATACACAGAAAAATATAGTACATTACAAAACACTACATTGCAGGAATAGCCTGGTTCCCAAGGGATCAAGAAGCAGGGTTGCTGTTGTTTTGCCCACTAACCAGAACAGCAAAGAGAGACAGGTTGTTGTCTCCACCTAACTATGTTGCACCATGTATCTTGAGGAATATAGTCAGTTAGTAGAGATGGAATACAAATAGGATGTAATAGAGGTTCTCTGAACAAGACTGTCTGGGAAAGTAGGTTACAAATACAGTGGTACCTCCAGTTACAAACGGGATCCATTTCAGAGGCCCAGCCATATCCCGAAATCTTCGTAACCGGAGGTGCCTCTTCTTCGCTTGTGCGAGGCACACAGAGCGCTTCTGCGCGAGCGCGAGCGGCAAACCCACTTCTAGGTTTGCCACATTTGCAACCCCAAAGTTACGTAACCCAAGGGTCCACTGTAGAGTCATTACTGAATGCTTGGAAACACCAAGATTCCTTAGACTTGCCAATTGGGGCTTTGAGAACTGGGAGGAAAGTAACCCTGTGAGGCCCTGGCTTGGCTTTCATGCCAGAGAAGCAGGAGGGGAACATAAGGCTTCAGTAGAATGTAACATTTCTCTACAGATGCATCAGTTCTTTCATTCTCTGTTTCATTCATTTCTCCCATAGTTTAAATAGAGAGAGTGTATAGGTACCACAATGGTGGGAATCCAGATGGAAAGTTTTAAATGCAAAGGTTTATTCAAAAACAACAACCCAAGCATTCATGCTTTGATGACTTAGACTGTAAGCCTATACAGTGGTGCCTCGCAAGACGAAATTAATTCGTTCTGCGAGTTTTTTCGTCTTGCGAATGTTTTGTCTTGCGAAGCAATGCACCCTGGGTATTAACGGTTTTAAGAAAAAGGAAACAAACTTGCAAGACGTTTTCGTCTTGCGAAGCAAGCCCATAGGGAAATTCGTCTTGCGAAGCAACTAAAAAAACCAAAAACCCTTTCGTCTTGCGAGTTTTTCGTCTTGCGAGGCATTCGTCTTGCGAGGTACCACTGTACACACTTACCTGAGACGTGGGTGGTGCTGTGGTCTAAACCACTGACCCTCTTGAACTGCTGATCATAAGGTCGGCAGTTTGAATCCGCATGATGGGGTGAGCTCCTGTCACTTTGTTCCAGCTCCTGCCAACCTAACAGTTTGAAAGCATACCAGCACAAGTAGGTACCGCTGTGATGGGGACGTAAACAGTGTTTCCCTGCACTCTGGCTTCCATCACAGTGTTCTGTTGTGCCAGAAGCGGTTTAGTCTTGCTGGCCACATGACCCAGAAAGCTGTCTGCGGACAAACACCGGCTCCCTCGGCCTGAAAGCGGAGATGAGCGCCACACCCCATAGTCAAATTTGACTGGAATTAACCCTCCAGGGGTCCTTTACCTTTTACGCACTTACCTGCAAGCAAGCTTCTTGGATTTACTTCTGAGTAGACAAGTGACTGCACTTTAAAACTGAAAAGATGGCATTATGCCAAAGGGAAGGGTGTAATTTACATTCTTTTGACCTTTTCCTGCAACTCAGCATTCCCAGTCAAGAATATGTGCCCCAAATCATCCACTGATTAGTTTTTTTGTTTTTTTTAGTGTTGGCTCTCACTACTTGCTAAACCAGGTATTTAATAACCAACACCTCTACTTCAGAATTTCAACATTTATTCCTGTTTGAAGTGCATGCTATTGCAACATGATAAAGTTGTTGGTTTACATACACAGTTTATCTTTTTGAACGTTGTCTCCTTTCTGTCCCTTTGCCTCCCTCACAGGACTTCAGTATAAATGCATATCCCGTGGAAACCCTGGGAAATGAACCCATGAACCTGTGCAATGAAGTGCACTGTAATTCTCAATACAAGGTATGGTGGGCATTTAGAATTGGGGCAGGGGTGCTTGTATGTCATCTCTGGAATGAAATAATCAAAGAAGGGTAAAGGATGAAAACTACTTACTAAGTATCAGAACAGATGAACAATAAGCAGTTTTGGATGTGGGACCTTTGAACTGGTTTGCCTTATTTATATAGTCTCTGTAGATTTTAATCTGTTGCAATTGTCCCATAACTTTAGAATTTGCAGTTCTGAAGTTTATGCGTTGAAACTTCTATTATATTTCAATTTGTGTCATTAGGATTCTTACCATAGTATGATCTGGGCCCTATCCTGTAAGCTCACTTGGGGCACATGTTCGATGTGTACACACGATAAGTTAGTTAAAGTGGGGGCAGTTTAAAGGAAGATAAGGGGCTGTATTTCCCCATTGATTTATTTATTTACTCATTCATTCATTAAGACATTTATATTTCATCCTTCTCATGTAAAAATATCACTCTTTGTATTTTTCAAGATGAAACATTTATAAAACTATATATATATACACACACACATACACATACCTACAGTGACCAGCAGTTTAAAAACCACAGAAACATTGTCCGCCACATAAAATAAAACTCTTCTGGAATAAAAAGGTATTCAGTAGCTGGTGAAAAAAAAACAGTGAGGGAAGGGCAACCTGTATTTCAGATGTTGCAGTCACTAAGAAGGCCCTGCCTCTTGTCCTATCTAGCTGGACTTCCCCCACCCCAGGAGGTTCCCA